TTTCCGGGTTCGGCCATCTCCCTCGAAAAAACTGCCGCCGGCCTCTGTTGTGATGTAAGGTTACCTAGACATGCGCCGTTGATTCAGCGGGTAGAATCCCGGCTGTTTTCACCCACTCCCTCAAAAAAAATGGCCGCCGGCCTTTGTTGTGATGTAAGATTACCTAGACCCGGGCGGGGTCCCCGATCATTCTTCTCCGGTGTTCTTCACCATCCGTTTGTTGCAACAGCGCGTGTGCGGTTTGCTTTAGGAGCTTCTCTGCACACTAGAATCAGATAATCTGCTATGGAGACCAGAGACGCATGCGCGATTCATCGACCGATATACCTGATTAATTTGAATACAAAGAAGCTTACTTCGTTGAATATAGTGCTCCACATTTCGTCGTCGCTTTCATCTCGTAGTAGAGCTCGTAAGAGGAAGAGCCACTTGAATGTCTTCGTATTTTCCTTGCATTTAGAGCAATAGTATGTGTAATGATATGAACTACGGAGGAACGGAAGACACGATGGAGACGATTGAGTGATCGAGGTAGAATGATTTATTGTCTGCTTCTTGTTGTCAACCTACGACGAGTGTGGTTGGTGTGTGGGATTCCAGAAGCCCACTCCAGAGCTCTACATTATATCTCCTCTGCGAGATCCCTTTTTCGAGCTCTTCGTTTACGCGGATAATTAATTTATCGACATTCTTTGATTCTGCTCATCCTGTGGAGCATTGGATTACAATCTATTGTCTATGCGGGAAATTATTTAGTTTATCACAATTCACTTTCGCTTTCCTCCTCCGTGTAGAAGATTTCCTCGTCGGTCGTAGTGTCGTTGCCGTCTTTCATCTCTACAGTTTGATTCAGTAGACGTTCGCTTCTTCTTAGTGGTTCCTTTGGGCTGATGTTCATGCATCTGGTTCTTTTTGTTGTATTTGTGGGTTTTGTTCCTTTTAGCCTCTTCGTTGAATCTAGGTCCGCTTGGTCTCTTCTTCTTTTGCGAGCGTCCTGTTTTGTTTTTTTGGTTTAGGTGTCGCAGGTCGATCTTCGGTTGTCGTTTCTGGTATGGGAGTTTCCCCAACTTCTTCTTCGCGTGGGTTTTCTTCGTGGGTTGGGTCCTCCCTTATAAGTTTTGAATTCCTCGTGATCTCCGAGTCAGAGTACCTCATTTGGATGACGTATGATCTCGGGGTTTCTCTTTTGTTGTTTATCTTGCCTGGCTCCCATGTCTTTTTGATCGGGTGTTGAACTAATACGTTTTGGCCTTTGTGGAACGTTTTCCCTTGTTGGGCTGTTCGGTCGTAGAAGAACTTTTGTCGTTGTCTATTCTCTTGCAGTCTCTCTGTGATTCTTCGGTCAGAAATTGTTCTTGGTCTGAGGTTTTCATCGGCTTCGATGATTTCTCCCCGTAGCTTTCTGGACATTAATCGCTGCGCGGGAGATCCCAGTTGACTATCGCCGGGCGAGTTTCTCCAGTCGAGCATGGCTTTGTAGTATCCGACAGATCCGTGATCGAAGTTTCGCAGTATCTTTTTTGCTTCTCTGACTGCTCTTTCCGCTATGGCGTTTCCTTGTGAGTGGTACGCTGAGCTGTATGTTAGTTTTATGCCGGCGTCGCTCATCGCGCTTCTGAATTCGTGACTCGCGTACTGACGACCATTGTCAGTACGCAGCGTCTTCGGTATTCCGAAGTGCGCGAACAGGCTGAAACACGCCTGGATGATTTGTTTCGACGTGATGTTAGATAGCTTTTGAATTTCGAAGTAGAAACTATAATGGTCGACTATGACCTGGTAGAATTTTCCTTCGAACTCGAAAATATCGGCTGCTATCGTTTCCCACGGGAGAGATGGAATCTCTGAGAGTATCATCGGTCCTTTTGGTTTGCTGGCAGCGTGAGTTTGACAGGCCCTGCAACTTTTTGCGTATGCTTCTATATCTGCTTCGATCGATGGCCAGTATACGGTATCTCGAGCCTTGTTCCTCATTTTCGTGATGCCGCAGTGCGAGCGATGGAGCTGTTGTAGAACTTCCGGTCGTTTTGCCTCTGGGACGAAAATTCTGTTGGACCTCAACAGAAGGTTGTCCACGATGTGGAGCTCGTCCCTAAAAGGCCAGTATTTGTGCAGGTTGGTCGGAATGCTGGATTTGTCGGATGGAAAGCCTCCTTGTACCAGTCGGATCAGTTCGACCACGTCTCGGTCGTTTTCCGATGCATTTTGATACTCTGCCAAGCGTGTTTCGTTGATCGCTATGGCTCCAATGATATTGGCTGCCGGGTCCTCCTCTAATTTCAACTTCATGGGTTGCCTCGACAGAAAGTCCGCGATGAGCATTTCTTTTCCTGGTTTGTATTTGACGGTGATGTTGTAATATTGCAGTGTTAGGCGCATCTGTTGGAGTCGTAGTGGAACTTGGTTGAGGGGCTTGTTGAAGATCATTTCCAGGGGTTTGTGGTCAGTTTCGATTTTTATGTCGGGTCTCCCATATATGAAGAAATGGAAACGTTTACAGCCATGGACTATTGCCAACATTTGTTTTCTATTTGTGCGTACCTGGTCTGAGTCTGGGTGAGCGACCTGCTCGAGTACGCTATTGGGTGGTTGTTCTGAAGGAGGACAGCACCGACCCCGTGCTGTGATGCATCTACTGAGATTGTTATCGGCAGGTTTTCGTCGAAGAATTTTAGGACTGGGGCGTTGATGAGGTTGTTCTTGAGGGTTTCGAAGGCTTGTTCGTGTCGCTTTTCCCAGATGAATGCGGTGTTCTTTCGGATTAATTCTCTGAGCGGGGCCGTTTTTTCGCTGAGGTTATCGATGAATGAGCTGACGTATGTGATCATGCCGAGGAATCTTTGTACTTCTTTGTTATTTTCTGGAGATGGGACCGATTGGATGCTGTCAATTCGGTCCGGATCCAGTTTGATTCCTTGATGGCTTATGATATGTCCCAGGTATTTGACTTCATGGAGCTTGAACTTACATTTGTTTCTGTTCAAAACGAGACCGACTTCGCTGCATCTTTTCAGAACTTTTTCGAGAATTTCGTCGTGTTCCTTCTCATTTTTCGCATGGACGAGTATATCGTCGACAACCACCGTTACTCCTTCGATATCGCCGAAGATCTTATCTGTCGCTGCTTGGAAAACGTCGGAGGCGCAGCTTATGCCAAACGGCATTCTGATGAACCTGTAACGACCCCACGGTGTTATGAATGTGCAGAGCTTCGAGCTGTTGTCGTCCATCTCGATCTGCCAGAAACCCTGATCGGCATCGAGGGTTGAGAACAGTTTCGATCCGGCTAACCGTGAGCAGATCTCCTCGAACTTCTTCATCGGATGAGTGCCGTGCTTGATTGCTTTGCTCAAGGCGTTCGGGTCCAGGCACAGACGTACTTTGCCATTTGGTTTTCTAATGACTACGAGGTTGCTGACGAATTCCGCATGCTCATCGACTTCGACTTTGACTGCAATATGGTTTTTACCATGCGGTCGAGCTCAGATTTGACGTTGTCTTTCAAGGCATGCGGGATCGATCTGCAGACATTGATTTTACCCTGGTACTGTTCTTTGAGCGTGAGATTGCAGCGAAAGTTCTTTAGCTTACCCGTTCCTTGGAAAACGGATCTGTATTTTTCTGCGAGCCGGTTTTCGTTTACGTTGATGTTGAAATTTTTCTTTATGAGACCGAGCGCTTCGGCTGCATCCCCGGAAAGGGTGGGATGTACTTTCGCATCCACAATGTAGAAAGTCTCTCGTATGCTTTGGTTGCCGTAGGAGAGGTTGAGCTGCGCGGTCCCCTCCGTGGATCTTTGGGTCCCGAAGTATCCGATCAGTTTCGTTAGAGTCGGTTGAATCTGGAGGGGTTTCGAACGGGTTATGTGTCTGAAGCACTCCAGAGGCAAAACTGAGCATTTCGCCCCTGTGTCGCACTTCGCTTGCACTTCGTTCTGGTTGATTCGTACAACGACGTCCCATTTGTCCGTTTTCAGCTGTTGTTGTCCGATCGTGTTGATCTGGAAATTTTCTTCGTCGGACGGTTCTTCGGTTTGTTCCAGACTCCAGACCGGTTTGGGTGTTCGTTGCTCGAATCGTGGATGTCTTCTCGGGATCGGTTGATGCGATTTCCCGCGAAAGTTGACACCCGATGCGTTGGGTTTTCGACAGAGATTGCCGAAGTGTCCTTTGATTCCGCATTTAGAGCAGTATCGGTGTCTCGCCCGATACGGCTGATTTCGGGTATGCTGCATTCCGCATTTGGAACAGCTGTCGCCTTGTACAGCATTGATCCCTACCTCATCGGGTGTATGATCGATTTCTGAGATGTGGTTGCTGCCCGTTGCCAACACGAGATTCGCTTTTTGCGCTGCCTCTCTCGCTCTTCCTTTCGAGATTGCGTCTTTCAGCGATGGATTTGATGCTAGGAGATCTTTTCTGAGTTTCTCGTCTGCCAGGCCGGCCACGAGTCTGTTTTTCGTCATTCGGTCCAGCAAAGTCCCGAATTTGCATCGTTGTGCCGCTTTACGGATTCTGCCGTAATAGTCGTTGAAACTTTCTCCGCGTTTCTGGTTATTTTGCGGTGCGAAAAATTGGAAATCACGGAGTATTTCATTCGACTGTGACTGGCACATTTTCTGGAACGCCTGGATTACCTTATCGTATACTTTCTTCTCTTCTTCTGAAAGATCGATTGTGTGCATCCAATTCCTGGCGTCTGAGCCGATGGCTTTCATGAAGTGACCTAACTTCAGGTTGTCCGGTTGATTCGTTAGTTGGGCGGTGCCCAAGAAGAGTAGAAACTCCTCGTACCAGAGCTCCCATGTTTCGTCCAGGTCCGCCGAGTTCACATCGAATGGAGGGGGATACGTTGCACTGATCACTGTCGCGTTTTGGGTCATGGTTGGTCCGTTATGATTTTCTGACACCATGTAATGATATGAACTACGGAGGAACGGAAGACACGATGGAGACGATTGAGTGATCGAGGTAGAATGATTTATTGTCTGCTTCTTGTTGTCAACCTACGACGAGTGTGGTTGGTGTGTGGGATTCCAGAAGCCCACTCCAGAGCTCTACATTATAGTATGTTTCCCCGGGTTGGGACTCCACTTTTTTCAGACAATTAGTTTTGGCGCAAGCTCTATACATGAGGGAATTCTGAGCAACGGTAGCTATTCTGGCCCGGGTCCAAAACACGAACGGTGGCGATTTGACGCTCCCAGCTTCGATTTTCACCTCGCGTTGGGCCGCCTCGAAGTTGACAGTTTTCATCAACTCCGAATTACGATTCGAAGAGTTGTCGCCGGAAGCCTCGAGTCCGTGTTTTTCCCACCATTGACTCAGTTTCAGGAGGCGTTCGTTCCCCAAATCGGAGTCTATCTTGGAAGCGGATTCACAATTCGAGCTCAGGTTGCCACGGAATATGTTGATTCGTCCGTGTCTGACGGAGACTGCAACCTTTTCCACCAGTTCAGTGTTCGTCCTTTCATTCCAAAGGTTGATGGTGAGAATTTTTCGGTCCTCATCGACTATGCGAAGTTCTCGCTTCACGATTGGTTTGCCATCCCTTTTGCGCGTGAATTCTTCCACCGGGGAAACATGAATGATCACACCACAAACGTCGACTATATCGTTCTCTTTCATCGATTGGAGCTCGCTAAAGGACACGTAATTTGGAGACTTCTCGGCAATCCGGAGCGTGGCTCGGTTCAAAGCTCGAATTTTCGTGCCTTTGTTTAGAACGATTTCCAGCTTGCTGCTTGTTGTATTGAAAATCGGATTAGCTTGACGGCAAGCGAAACCCTCTATATCGTACTCCTGGTGCTCCTGAAGAATTTCGGAAAACTGCAAGCAGTTATCATTGAAGGCAACGATTTGAATGTCCGTGGAAGCGTCAGCCACTTGGCAGGAGAACACTTTCCCATTGCTGCTCCCTTTGCTCCATGTGTGAATCTCCTTCTTCGATACTACCCGGAACTGATACTTTTTTTGTGACGGGCCCATCTTCAACTCGCTCAAATTCGAATATGAAAGTTTTGAGCTCTGCTCCTCTAGCTCTCCCGGCAGTGTTGGATCAATAATCGCAGCGTCAATGGTGCCGGTGGCTGTTTCACTTATCTTTTCGAGAGTATCCGATTCTTGGTTCGGAAATTCCGGATCTTTCGGTGGCATTTTCGTTGGAGAGACTTTCTCTTTGAAAGCATTGAGAATCGATTGCTGTTGAGCGCTGGAATTGCTCCTGCCGCTGGGCGCCTGATGCGGACTTGATCGGACTTGTCGCGGACCGCTTCGATACTCAAAAAGCGGATTCTGAATTGAACAACGAACATCTATTCAATTTCTTGAGGAAGTTTCACCTCTTCAATGCTCTCGGAAACTTACGGCTGAAAATAGAATCACATCTGGAGCCTCATTGCTCCCTCATTCAGAGAACACTCGGACTTAGCAGCTAGGGGAGGTGTTGAGGTTTAAGAAGAAACTGAAAACCACTAGTCCTCGTTCCGTACTAGGACTATGACTCATACCAACTCCACGGGGCCATATACCCGTGACAGTGGTAAAATAGGTGAGTCACCGGGGTTATACCCCGAGGTTACGACTCTAGCATGATACCCTTGAGGTAGTACGAAATTGGCTTAGCACCCCACATGCTAGGTACACCCAATAGCATTCTAGAACGCTACTTATGATAGACCAAGGTAGCCTCATGCTATGTATATGTATGTACGGATCAGGACATGTAAGGAGGAGCTTAGACTTCTGCCTAGGTATAAAAGACCTGAGATTCCAAATAAAATTCACTGTGGTATCTCCCTCTCGTGACATTGCATCTCCGTGTATTCCTGAACGGGCTGCTGAACGAGCCATCTCGAATCACGATCGGACGAGTAGCAGCACCAGCGTTTTGATCGACATTCAAGGCTTCGGTTTCAAGCTCGTGCCTGGGAGAAAGATCCCAAGTGTCACAGCTTCCAGGGGGAGACAGAGACCGTCGAGACATGGCTATCCCTCAAAAAAAGAAAACGAAAACCCTCTAGAGGAAAACTGACCGTATAAACATATATGTAACTAAGGTGCTCTGATCGATTTTCGGACACTTCCTCAAAAACTTTCCGCAGTAAGGGATAAATTGTTAGGAAATTGCCTTCTTATGTGAACAAAGGCGTTTCCGTTACTTTGATGTAAGTTTTTCAGAAGTCAGTGTTTATGACACTTCAGTATACGAGCCAAAACTGATCGATTGTCGCAGAAAAAAACTGATTAGCTTTTTCTGGGAAACACCTCTTTTTCACTGTACGGCCTATGGAGTCAAGACGGTACATAAGCAGCATTCAAATAAGCATCAATAAAAGACTTTCTATCACACGCATCCCTTGNGTCCTCGTTCCACGGGAGCATCTCCCCTGCCAGCCCTCGGTTCGGGTATCAGATGCCCGACTCTCAGATGCCCGACTCTCAGATGCCCGACTCTAAGATGCCCGACTCTAAGATGCCCGACTCTAAGATGCCCGACTCTAAGATGCCCGACTCTCAGATGCCCGACTCTGAGATGCCCGACTCTCTGATGCTCGGTTTTCAGATGCGTGGCTTCTCAAGCACCGAGCGCACGACGCCTTCATAGGTACTGACGCACGTGAATGCTTCGACATGCAATGCGGCGTTCGATTCCGTCAGAGTAATAGCTCATAAGTCTCCTCGAATCCGGGCGTGGTGTTGAAGATGAGTATCACAAGAGTGAGGTCGACGAAGGGCAAGTCTCTTTATCGTGTCGATGGGTTTCTCTTTGAAGTGGAGAAAAGGAAGAACGAAAGATCCTACTGTCGTTGCGTTGAAAAGAGATGGCAGAACGGCGAGGCCAGAGCAACGGTCATGTTCCAAGCGTACTCAAGTAGCCTTTAGTTGCGATAGGTAGATGATGTGACACACGGATACCAAATGGTTCAGAGCGAGGAATTGTGAAAATAAATTAACCGCTTCTCCGTGAGCAAGAGGGAGGAATTATATCAATTTCCAGGCATCCGAAAGCCCGGCATTAGAGAGTCGGGCATTAGAGAGTCGGGCATCTGAGAGTCGGGCATCTGAGAGTCGGGCATCTGAGAGTCGGGCATTAGAGAGTCGGGTATCTGAGAGTCGGGCATTAGAGAGTCGGGCATCTGAGATGGTACCAGCCCTCGACCCTCGGAGATCATCACAACATTGTGCCGGAATAAACTCTGAACTGCAAACAATGGATTCCCGCCGATTCCCAACATCTTGTCCTCCGATGGTGACATCAAAACCATCCTCGGCCAACTGTCCTACGGGGATCAGATTCTTCCTCATTTTGGCCACATAGAGTACGTCCTAGACCTGGTAGGCGGTAGTATGGTTTTCGGCTAACTTTCGTAGCACGAAGTAACGGGCAACTTTCGTACTACTGGACTAAGGGTCGAAAAGAATCGTACTCCCGAAGCGATCACTACGGAACTACGATAGTTTTTCCTGCAACGACGCCCTTGATACGCATAAGTCGTGTGCTATCGATCGATAAATGAAGAAATGAATTATTTCGCCAAATGGTCAGACCCCTTAATGATCGCTGATCAAGAAGTGCGCTCCGCGAGAGATAGATATCGTTTCCAGACATCCACTTAGCTTGAGAGTCGGGATGATCTAGCTTAGAAACGGAAGAATCGAATTAGACTATAATTCAATTGATGCATGAATTCATCGGATCGAACAAAAGGAATCGTCGCGTTTGCGAAATGAGAGCCAGCTCTACAGATGTTCATCCAGATCTTTGAAAGTAAAAGCGACCCCATGATGGGCAATATCCCAGCTTCGAATTCCAAATGTGTTCGATGTCGCTCCCGAAGTGTACTTCCGCGAGTATGTGACAAGAGGATCTGCCTGACAACAACGACTCAAGTATATGAGCCACGCGACGCGCCTAAGATCGGGATCCCTGTCGGAAATCTTTACCACCTCTCGAACCATCACTCCGTTCGAGTTATTCTGGGTGCCAGTGTGTCCTCTTCGATGCCCGTCGAGTCTTTCACTGATCGGCCTATCCAGCGCATTGAGCAGCAAAAGGGGACGTCCAGCTCTCCCTTGTCTCTACGAAAGGCGAAACGACCCCGTAGTGAGTACGCTATTTCTGAGGGTTGCTTGCCTGTTGAGATCGCCCCCAAGAGGATCCGGCGATATTGAAAGAACTACCTACTTTCTGTAGGGGATGCTCATTGTGAAGAGTGTGCATCGCAGTCTGAGAGCAGTTCGACCTCATCATCGATTTCAAATAGTTCCGCGCCGCGTCTACCTCTAGCTCGCCGCTCGAGAAAACCAGGTGAGATCAATCGTCGATCAGAATTTGGGTGAATAGATGGAATGCGGTAGAGTACCGGGTAGACTCTACCACACCAACACACTTCAGACCCAATTCGGGATGCCTTCGATTCAACTTCGGAAGCTGATATTCAGAAATGCAAACTTTGTGGTGACAAAATCACATCGGCGAAGCAGGGCACGACAGGCTCGAAGGCTCATCTTCGGAAGCATTCTAGGCAGGGAGGAAGAGCTGACAGAGAGGGGATCAAATCTTGGCTCGTAGCCTGTACGATAACCGTCTTGAACATACCATGTCGAGCCTTCAGCTCGGGCGTACTCTTCTGGCTCGCTCGACTTGGACCGCTCTGGCTCGACGCTACACCGACGAGGAATTCGAGTGAGTCCGCGGAACGGATTGAGAGCGTTGGAGACTTACATGCACCGCTTGCGGATTCTTCGATAGAGCACGTAAAAGTCCATGAACAATACTTTTTTTTGTAGTAAAAAGTTTTTCTTTGTATATTTTTGTATACCCATTTTTTGTAGCGAAGTGAAGAGTCGACTCAAAGAGATTTCGACCGATCTCAAGACGAAGGGAGCGGAAGTCACCTTGACTGCTGATGAATTCTGACTGAGATGAAGGTAAGATTCTCACCTTGCGGAGCTCCATGTCCGGTATCGACCCTTTCTAAAGCTTGTCTCCGTGTCTAGGGATAACTCATCACTGCTCGCATCACATTCCGAGTTTCGGAAGATCTGTCGTAATCCTGTCGAGATTCAGCACTCGTGCCAATGCGAAAAATCTGGAAACCGTTCTGGTGAACTCACTGGAGAATCTGGGTCTACAGCTGAGTGGTATAAAGGGCATCACAACAGACGCAGCATCAGTCATGCGAGAACTCGGACAGACACTAAAGAGAGCTGTCTCATCCAAGCCCTTCTATCATCAGCTCTTTCTGGCTCACGGACAACACTCGGCTGTTCTGGACACATTCAAAACCTCGGAGCTCCACGGGGCTCCGATGCTTGACGAAGATTCGACTAAAGAGAGCAACCACCTTCAGCTTGTAGGCATAAACGAAGACGACTAAGGAAGAGACTCGGGTTAAAATGAGTGCTGGATGCAAATCAGCATCGATCCGTATCACTTGAAAGTTCGTTCCCAGTTTCGAGATATTCCCCAACGAACTCTTCGATACTTCAGACGATGGAAATGATGCCGAGGATCACCTGCGGAAGCTTGTCAAGGCCCTATGTTCGCGAGCAGTTTGGTAGCGAAAATTCGCCGCGAGTGCCGGAGCTTCGCCCTAAGCCCTACATTGAACGACGAACTACTCTCGCTAGCGACTCCAAACTCGACTCCTCCGAAGATCGTTATGGACATGAGAATACGGTGGACTAGTTCATTCAGAATGATACGTAACTTCATTGTCAACGAGGACGCCCCGCGACGACTCCTTGCGAAACGACGCGGCGTTTTCTCCGTCAGCCGACTAGAACTCCAGCTGACCGGAGATATCATTATCGCCGCTTTGACACATGTAGAAGAGTGCGTCAAGCGCCTATCGCTGGCAGGCGCGACTTTCAGGAGCGCAGATATGGCTCTCCATGTGGGTGATCCGGATGAGAGAATTATCCCTAATGAGAAAGCCGCGACCATGAGCATAGCCAGCCGGGAGTCTTCACTTTCATTATCTATAACGGGTAGGAAACTAAGCGATACCGGGATCGGCCGGTGTCAAATGACATCGAAGGGATCCGAATTCAGAGTGTTCGATCGTTTTGCAGACTATGTTGAGGAAAGTCAAGACAGAATCATCCGAGTTCTCGAAGTCCCTGTACATCATCCATCTCTGTCAACGAATCTTACAGAGGAGGACAGCTGCATCGCGATGTTCACGATATCTACATGAGAGGACCGAAATCAACGATCTGGATAGTTGGCTCCTTGAAGTACGCGGAAAAGTCGTGGACGATAGGAACATCACTCTCTTCCACACCTTCGCCGAGCGCGGCGAGCTCGAGGAGGAGATCGGGAGCTTTCAATCGCTGTCTACGTCAATCGTCGCTCCTCGAGCTCTTGAATCAGGATCCGATGACGCCGACTTGGATGAATATGAGACTTGGATGAATCGTTGAGGGATTCGTCTAATCAGTCGGCAGTTTCATCGAACTCCGCGAGAACTTTCATGAGCTTGCACGAAGCGGGCTTCAATGTCATGTCCGGTGCTCTTCTGGTAGCCATGGACACAGCCAACTAGCGTCCCTGCAGAACGTGCCTACAGCATGGCTCGCCATGCTCGCCTTTACTGTCAAGAAAGCCAGAGCGACGAGCTTTTTAGTAACGATTTTCCTCAAGCCTTTTCCCCAATGTGGCAAGCCCTGGGTAGAGTTTGCGAACGAGAACATCACGAAGGGGTCCCAGAATCCATGATTCCGAAACTGAGAAAGCACGCGCAGGGCTCTCGATGTGCGGGAAACTTTTGGTAGGCGTCAACGAATACATGTCGCAGAATACTGAGAATGAATACACAGGATTGTTGATCTGCCTGAGGCTTATGCGTATCGAGGGCTCCGTTGCAGGATCGTGGTTCCGAAGCAGTCACTACGAACGACTTAGCGTTGTTCCGTAGTGATCACTACGGGAGAACGATTCTTTTTGTCCATTCGTCCCGTAGTACGGAAGTTCCCCGTAACTCCGTGCAACGAAAATTAGCCGAAAACCGTACCACGGCCTACCAGGTCTAGTACGTCCCACAGTCTGACATTGTGAGTTTTCTCGTTTAGTCTGATGGTCAGATCGATAGTGCCCTGTCCAAAAAACTAGCAAACGATGGTTGCCGACAACGACCTCCCGGGTATCAGAACACTTGTTGGATTCAGAAAACTACCTCTCGGTGTTGGTAATATGGTGCGTGGCACCACTGTCGATGAGAAACTGATTAGTTTTGATCTTATTTTCTCGATAAAGACTCAGAAATGCTTCAGCCACATTTGCTTTTGGTGGAAGTTTGTTTTTATGTGTGCTGTTGGATGTATTCTGCTGTCTGTTTCTCCTCGGTTCGCGACAATTGCTTTGGGAATGACCTTGCATCCCGCGATCTCGCACTTCATTTCTGTATGATGAGTCTCGATGTTTTGCGTTGTCTGTTGTACCGCTCGCTGGTGGGCATGTGGTGATCGTTTAAGTGGTGTTCGCGGAAAACGTCTGTTTTGAGGGAGTCATCCGCCGATTTTCATCTTGGACATCAAGGTCGTAGCTTTGTTGACTCCAGACCTCTGCTTGGGAGCTTATTCGATATCCTTCTGACCCCTGAGCGGGAGGATCAACACTTCGAGAGTCTTGTCAGCTTCTGTGGTGGACAGGAGGAGATTATGAAACTCTGCCACTCTGGTCCTAGGGAATCAAGGAGTCGGTTGCACAGATTTTCTGTGGTTTGAGTAACACCTGCGTCTGTCACTGCATGACAAAGCATTTTGGATTTGTTCACATTCTCTTAGAAGGATCGATTCGAATTCTATTTGAAATTTTGAAGCCCTGTCAAAGCTCCCTGCCTCATTAATCCAGAGGATCTCTTGGAATTCCTTCGAGCTTTGTCCAAATTCCCGCGACGTGAGAGTCTGGGTCTCATTGTGGAACAAAGACAGAATGAGATTCGGATCGATAGAGGCGTAAAGGATTTGAAGTCCTTCAAGGCTGTTCTTCTCATATTTCTCCGGCAGTATGAACTGATTCGGAGTCAGGCCTGTCGCAGGTGCGATGATCTCTTGTGGCTTTATTTCGCCACTGACAACCTTCCAGACGTCTAAGTCATATTTTAGGTACGTCGGTACCAGTTGCTTTCAGGCCTTGTAGTTTTCACCGAATTCCGACAGTTTGACTGGGCAAGCGAGGCCGCCCTCGCATTTGGACTATACACCGTCACCGCACAGGGCGTCGCCGCAGTTTTTGCCTTCGACGTATCTGCCTCTGTCGGCTGAGACATTTCACTCCCCGTCGGAATGCTTAGAGGGTTACTCTATCTACTCGATCACTACCTGCAACTTACTGATGCCTTGGGGTTGAGCCTTGGGTACTCGGAGCAGCGATTTTCAGCAGTTGGTTCACAGAGCTATTCGTGCTGATAACGTGTTCAAAATAAACTGGACGGCTGATGCCTTCAAATCCAGTAATCTTTATTCTAATACCCAAAGCTTATATAGTGTCCACCACACCGTGGTAAGGGTGAACCTTCTGTGACGAACGGACTAGGTCCATTGCGCATGCACTACACTCACAGCACACTATCCTTCCCAACAGATTCTGGTTTCCCATAATCCATTCAGCTATTTCCTCAGAGAGACCAGAGAGACTTATTGGGGGAACTTCGGATCAAGGATCCATATTTATTCATGTCCTATTAATCAGTGTACATTATAATCATCATCAATCTCAATTATATCTCCAGGAGAGATGAGAATAAATTCCTAGGAAGTCGGGCGCACTCAGATAGCAAACACAGACTCGGCGCAGCGCGGATCGATCATACCGGTTTCTCCCGCTCACGGCGCCACCGTCAACAGTCAAGCACACCGACCGGCGGAGACATCGAGCCGTCAACACACACACACATACACACACAATCTGTCAGAGATCGAGAGCGGCGATCCACAGGTCGCCAACATCGAAATCTCAGAATCATCATCCCAAGTGGTTCAAACCCCCACTGCAGTGAAGTTAGCGGCTAGGCCAGGGATCAGACCCGCTAGTTAGCCCGACGAACATATTCGCATAGTGCGCCCACTTCCGGATTTCTCTACGTGATTTCTCCAGCGTCTTCATTTACTGATTGTCTAGGACAGTGCGCCACACCTTCCACTCCACGTAGATGAGGCTTTTTATTTGTTTCGGTGCGTTGCACAGTTGTGTTCACTCTGCACGCACTCCCCTTTTTTTTCTCGTCAACTCTTTTTTTTCTCGATTTTTTATCGAGAGCTTTTCACAGCGCGCGCTGTTGTTTTGGGCGTCGAGCAGACGATAGAAACTACGCGACGTTCGGTCTGGTGGCCGAGCCGCTCGTGGTGCAGCAGCAGATGGGCGACTGATTCCACAAGATCCGCACGGATCATTCGCGGTTTCTTCACTCGGAGATTCATCACATAGAGTCCGTTCTTCGACCCTCCGCCAGATCCCTACCATTCTACATCGATCTGATCGAAACGTCTTCTCATCGAGTCTGGTACTGGAGCCCCTCCTTGTGGCCATCTTCACAGAGAACAGGTTGGCACTCAAACTGGGCGCCTACCACACATCGAGCAGTTCTGCCTCGTGCCATTTTCCGTCGCGCAGGATTTGAACGCGGATGTTCCCTCCACCGAGAGCCTTCATGAACTGGCCCTTCTTCCCAAGGCAGATGAGTTTGGGTTCGTTGAAGATCCTCAGATGAGAGAATTAGTTTCTGTTCGACATCATGTGCACGGATGCTCCGCTATCGCATATCCAGTTTTCCAAGAGGAATCTGTCCTGTTGCAACTTTTGATACTTCCTGCACGAGAATCTCATTTTCTTGTTCTCGTTCTTCCGCTTGATGTTGTTCTTTGATGAGTAAAAGTCCTTAGCCGCGAACGCCTGCTCACTCGATTTGTTTCCTCGGCGTTCTATGGTACAGAGACGCTCCATGAGCAAATTCACCGGTCGATCCTCTGGCTGTATGTTCTCCCAGACATCCTTGAACGACTTATAATTCGATCCAAGGGTAGACAGTATTCGCCCCATAAGAATTCGCTCGGATAGCCTTGTTTTTTACGGTTTTCTCCGCTATCTCCCGATCGGGAGTTAAGTGACGAGACGGACTTCGAGTGGAAGTCGAGGTGAATGGGCGACCGGGTCGGGACCGCGTACAACACGGTAGATAGACTGTGTGAGACTGATGTGCATGTTCCCAGCGAACCTCGTCGATTGCCACACGGCGAGGGAAGTTCGGGGGAAGAGGGAAAGCCGACCGGGCCGCCACCGCCTAGCTTTATTGAGGTATGTAGGTACCAATGGGGTATCCGTGACTAGCCTGTGCTCTTCTTGCTACTCATATTCGTTGTTGAGATCAACTAAAAGCTTCTGTAGCTTCGCAACGTAAGTCGCCATGTTCTCGCTTTCATCTCTTCCGGTCTTGGAGAACTGAGTGAGTCTAGTCGCTCCAGGGAGCTCCTTTCGAACCGCGCACTCAGTTTCAACAAGATCTCGCTGGCCGAAGCGCATGTCAGTTCGAGCTCGGAAATCGGACTACTGAGTGCTCCCGCCAAAAGGCTCATCCCCCCTCATGCTCCCATGACCCCTTGAATCTAGAGAGACTGAGGACACCGGTTCGCTCACCAAGATTGACAGGCAGCAGAAGTCTTGGTATATGACCCATTAGGTGTCAGTCGGTTGGACATCAGATCTGTAAGATACAGTGGCGTAGCCAGGGGGGGACGATCGGGCGTTCGCCCCCCCCGTAATTTTTTCCGAACCGTGCTGGGGCGACGCCTGTCAGCTTCTATGACGGTGACGAAAGTAGGGATCTCGGCATTTCAAGTCTAACGTTCACCTACTCTGTCGAATAACTTGTATTACCTTACTTGTAATACCTTTAAACACGATTGCAGCTTGCGAAACTATTGATTACTCGTATATTGACATGAGACCGAGATCTGATGATTCTGTGAACCTTCCGAAAGATTCGAAAAAAATTCCGCCCCCCCAAAAAAAAATCCTGGCTACGCCACTGGTAAGATACACTGTAAACCTGAGAGATCACGGCACAGTGAATGGTCAGCGATTCGGTTAGGAATCGTGTAGCTCCTCGCAGCGCGAGACTTTATTACCAATATTTATACACCCAGGGGAGAGCACTAGCTGACGGAGCTGATCTGAGGCGAGCCGGCCTTCAGATCAGGGACGTCTGCTTTCCAGAAGACTGTGTCCAGACTGAACTAGTCATTGTGCAGATATGTTACAGCTAGCTAGCAACTAGACAGAAATACTATGTCCATCAGTATTCTGTATTTCAACATCCTGCCTTAAAAGGAATAGTCTGATAAGGATTCGTCCGCAATTTACCGATTGGATTTGACTCGTTCAGAGGACTAGACATGTTTGCTTCTCATGCAATATCCGGGTTTTACAGTTTTCAAGATCAACAAGTGCGCGGTTCACCTTCCATCATATAAACTGAACTGGTGCACTCTTCCTGGCATGATGGGATTATCCTATTATAGGATACTATATCGAGGAGTTGCTAATAGTAACCTCGCGGTCAACTTCCGGAACCTAATTCATCCCTGATCTCCTAGCCTTTTTTTATTGGTGAGACACCTTGTGTGACGGACCGATCCTGGACCTATACTTGAATGATGACACCAAGTTGATATCACTGAGAGTCGGTACGTGCAGCGAGCGCAATCGGGGTAGGACGTAGTGTTACGGCCTCACCGTCACGCAATTGAATGGGAGTTCGGAGCGGGATCGAACCGTTCCTCACTAATTTGAGTCTGGCGATTGATGCCGCGCGCGTGGAGTGCGCTTCTAATCTCTGCTGACCAGAGAGAGAGAGAAAATCAATATGGCGTCGCTCATAGCGCGCACCGCGCTGTGCTCGTCAGCTGCTTGCTCCGAGAACGGTTGGTGCTATCTGTCACTGCCGCCGGGTGTCGCTGCTTGCGACCGCACGCACTGTTGCTGCTAACACCGACTCTTCCCGTTTTATTGATATCATCATTATCCTTATATTATTATTATTATAGTACACTTGACGCGGGTATGTGAGAGGGAGACGACTGTGCGACTGAACTGTGCCCGCTTGATCTCTGTGTCTGTTGTGTATGTGAGCCTCGCTCCGTGAGAAATCCTTGATATGTGCAACAATTCATATAGGGTAAATGCGCTACGGCCTGGCCGTACGTCACACCTTGTTTTGTTCCCAGAGATTCGTGAAGATGAACCTACTGGCCACACAGCTCAATTCAACGCTTGTATCTCATCCCTGCATGATGCCAAGTGTTGATAATGGTCACCCTGCCAGAAACCATGACACATTCATAGAAAACCCAATCTGTAAGCTCAGAAGTCGCAGTGTAGGGCGTAAATGTCCGTCCGGCGATGACTCGCGAGAGTCATTTGCAGAGCTTCACAAAAGTAAAGGGAATCGATACAGTAGGTCTCCCTGAGGAAGGCTACTCTCAGCAATGAAATCCCATTTGGGTTCTCCAATAAATGGCTGGCGCAGAATTCGCTTGAAAAGTTTTTCATCGATTCTGCGATATGCCGACGTAGCATGGAGGCAGGGGAGCCTGCAACCACAGGGATCGGTGATATTTATATAAACTGCGATGAAATCTATTTATAAAAAATGCGTTAATCCCGCAGCGAGTAAACAACAGACCGCAGGACCGGCTCCGGAAAATTCGAAATTTCCAAGTGTGGACTGCGTTCCCGTCGATGAAAATGGCTGTTTTCGCCGAACAACACCTCAACCAACTGAACAATCTATTCGACACGAAGAAACAGGCCACAGTGGGTGAGATAACAAAACACGTGGACCAAAGGGTTGGAGGCATCGTCAAAGACATCGGAAATCTCAAAGAAGACAATCAGAAACTCAAGACGAGACTGTGTGCACTCGAGTCCATGATGTTGAGGAACCACGTTGAGATATCTGGGTTTCCGACAGAACCAAAAACTTTTTCGGGCTGATCCTTGCAGCCAAGGTTTAAGGTCCCGGGTACTGTTATTCACATTGCTTCCGAGGACGGATCCATAGAGCAAATGTACCCAGGAGGATCAAGGCCGAGTACCTGCATTTTGACGTGAAAGCGTCTTTAAAATGTCTTTAGTAGCCGTTCAAAGAAACTTCGTCCTCCATGCAAGGAAATCTAGTCCGCTTTCGCGGGGCTGGATCTCCGCTGATAGGAATCGGATTATCACGAGGATTGGATCGGAAGATTGCAAAACGGGACATTGTTCCGATGAATTTTCGTCCGGAACCGAGTTGCGAAAGAGGTCCCATTAGACAATTTCTGTCGACCCACGAAAACCTCTATACAGCCGCATGAATAATTGTTTTCCAGAATAGGAGAAGAATGGTCGGCTCAAGCAATTGAATGGAAGTAAGACTCTGATGTATATCGGCGACGACACGGACTTCAAGTGACTCAAGACTGCTTGTCCGGGGAAATTTCTAGCTCGTAGGGATACCTATCGCTTGCCCTGGTGGAGAAAACCGCAGCGGCTATGCAGGTTCTCTTCATCGACTTTCAGAGCGCATATCAAATAAGTTTCTTGCACTTGGGATTCTGATCGGAGGAGGATCTTGAATCGAACAGGGTTCCAAGTGAAGATTAGCTCGTCTATCCGCAATTCGAAACGGAGGTTTCGCCGAGATTCGATGGAATATAACGAAGTGTGCAGCTGAGGCTCCCAAGAGGACTTCGTTCCTTGGTGTTCGCCATGAGACCGAAGACAAGTAGCCTCATGCGAATAAAGCGGAAAGCAAGAGTAGCTGAAAATATAGGGCAGTCTGAAGCAGCTGCGAAACGGCCGAAAACATCAACGAAAAGATCCCGCGAAAATCGTGCTCGTCGTCGTGCAATGGCCCAGTCACTGAAGGCCAACACGGGGGATCTTGGTGCGCTGGGTTCGATCCCTGAAGATGGAAATGTGAGTCGGCAAGAATCGGTACATTTCATGCGTCAGGATAGCGATAGTCGAAACGAGCTGGGTGTCCTCAGAAATAATGCTGCGAATTTCGATGGAGGTACCGAATGCACGAGGAATGCGGCTTACGAATATAGGTGGAAAAGAGCGTCGCAGCGATTCAAAAATATGTTCCTTCACAACGAGTTCGGGCATAAATGCGATGTCTGTGATCGCCTCTGGTTTCCCCGCGATCTCAAAACAGTGAATCCTAGTATGGCGATGTTTCTGCGAGACCATTTCGAGAACGAGGATACCACGGTCTTCAAGCTATGCGGTAATTGTTTCAGAGTGTGTCGGAAATTTAAAATCCCACCTCTCGGTAAGACTCGGATATCAATATCCAGCGAAGCCGACGTACTTGCCGAAATTAGATCCTCTATCGCAGAGGTTCCCAAACTGGGTTCCGCGGAACCCTTGGGGTTCCGTCGCTCTTTTCCGGGGGTTCCGTGACAAAATCTTTGCGGAACCCCAGTGTTCCGTGGGCTGCTCTTTGCGCAAATCGGGGTTCCGCGACGATTTTCTGCTTCCATATGTACGCTCATATACGGGCCCTAGGTGACGTAGCCCTGTGGGCAACTTCTTTTCCTGATTCCAAATGTCTTCCTCAATACGAAGGGGATCGTTCTAATTGGCGCATCGATCGGCATCGAATGCACCCTGCGAAGGTCCTTGCACAAGGCACGTTCCCACTAGATGAGCATTCCTAATTTATACAAGAATTGACTTAAGCAATAAACATTTGGGTCTGCTCCGGAACAAACGCGTGTTTTCTCCTTTAATAGCTGCAAGGAAAGAGCAATTGACAGGACTTTGAATTTTTTGGAAAATGAGGACGGGTTCCACGGAACACTAGGGGTTCCGCGAAGGGTTCCGCCGAAGAAAAAGTTTGGGAACCTCTGCTCTATCGGAACGTCTCGTGTCACCGCGGATACCATATATGCAGATCCGTCGTTTACGCCGTAATGGTTGCTACGGCATAGTCGGGCAAGTCATAAACGTGCCCGTCGATGTGAATACCATGGTTCTGCCATTGCCACGGTCACTAG